TTGTATTCATCTGCACAACAAAAATAAAGAATATAAACCCCCCCCCAAAAAAACCCAGAGCAACAGTAAATACCATAGGCACAAAAATCAATATAATAAGTAATCAAAAGATGAAACACTGAGGGGTTCCTTATCTGAGGTTACAGAAATAGTTGTTGGATGCAAAATCCTAGTATAATTGACCTATGGAGCTCATTTAATTTATTATTTATGTGATGTAATTTTGATGTGTTTTTCTTTGCTTCTGTTTACATATGTATATTATTATTTTGCAGACACCCATGGTGAATTTGCAGCAAGCAGTGCAGTGGCTCGAGTGTGCAAGTGAGTATTATATACCTGAACTTGTCCCTCACAGCCACCAGCATCTTCTTCTGTGAGATCCTTTTCAGCTCCAGGCGCTTCATTACTTAGGAGCCAACATTGCTGCTGTGCTCTCATGCATGCGCAAGACTACAACACTGATATGGAGTCTCCATAGAAAAAGGCTTTTCCCAAAGCTTGACAGTGGTAGCTCTGCCTTCTGTCATGCTTTGTCAAATGTAGGAAAAATACATAAGACAAAATGGTCCATACCAGGGAATGGGTTTCCATTAGGCAGAGTAGACACCTGGCCACTAGGGGTGCTTGTTTTCAGCTCCTAGTGTGCCTTTTCCTGCTTAAATAGCCTGGCGGGGAAAGATAAGTATTAGACACCTTGGGTAGTGTCCTCTGTAGTCCAGGCTGTGTCTGTGTGTGAGTCTGGACAGGAAGTGGAAGGGATCACTTGTCATTTGCCCATTAGTAACCTCTTACACAGGATGTGCATTGCAGGAGGCGCAGGGGAAGCTCTCAGTGATACACACTGTATATCATAGGACAGCACTGTATAAATATCTCTTCAGCTATACTATTATCAATCTGACTGGTCTGCAAAAGAGATAGAAGGGTGAGTACTTTGCAAATATCCCATTAAACTCCAGCACTCTAAGCCTAAACGTGACAATTATTATTATTATTATTGCCATTTATATAGCGTCAATAGATTCCGTAGCGGTTTACAAAATTATGAGAGGGGGATTTAACTATAAATAGGACAATTACAAATAAACTTACGGGAACAATAGGTTGAAGAGGACCCTGCTCAATTGAGCTTACATTCTACAATAAACCCTTAATGTTAATCCTATGTTTAACTCCTCTTAAAAACACATCATGTGCCCCAATACTAAATATAACCCCACTCTAGCCCTAAATTTAGTAATCCTAAACAGGCTTTATACTACAACTTTAACCCCTGTCAAGCTGTTAATTTTCTTAACATTAAAGGGACACTATAGTCACCAGAACAACTACAACTTAATGTAGTTGTTCTGGTGAGTATAATTATTGAGCTAATAAAATGAATAAGATACCCAAGAGTTTACTTATTGGTATCTATAAACCAGTGTAGACACTCCAATAGTGTCTAAAGGGCTTAACCCCAATAATAATAACAACACAGGAAAGAGTTACCTAATCCACAATAAAGTGGATTAAGGTAAAAAACTGGGAAAATGTAATCAGTATCCTGATGTAAAGGAGATCACTGTGCACTCTGCACAATACATACACAAACCACATATATCCCCTGACGAAGATGTACATTGTACTGCACCGAAATGCGTGTGAGTATAATTATTCCCTGCAGTCATTGTCATGTAAAAACAAAATTTTCAGAGAAAAGGCAGTGTTTACATTGCTCCTTAGGGACACCTCCTGTGGCCAGGGCCGGACTCGGGATTCCAAAGCAGCCCTGGAAAAAAAAATCTGTGCCAGCCCCATAAGTCATTGCGCCATATATTGTCGCATGTAATATGTAAGGCTATGTCTTGCCACCCTAGATGATTGAGATATGTATGTATATATATATATATATATATATATATATATATATATTGCTTTTTCAAATATAAAATATTGGTCC